CAGATGGGTCCAGATGGGTCCAGATGGGTCCAGATGGGTCCAGATGGGTCCAGAGGTTCAGTATGCAGGCAACAAACATGGAGTTCGCACCAGGTGGAGCGATGTTTAAGAAATGTTTGACGAACATCAAGTATCTATTGGGTCTGTCCATCATCATCCACTGTTACAGGTATTAGGATAGACCCAATCTATCTACACCTTAGATCCTCTGTTGAAAGGTATCATTTTCTCATAGACCCTCTTTCGCCTTCAAGGCAACTGGTCTCGCCGGCAAGAAAAATGGCTAGGGTGGAACTGCAGGATTCTTTTTCTGATCATTCTGTTCGCTGTGTATTGAAAGGCTTGGAACATTTGGAACAATCTAGTAGCTTCTTGCTGCTAATAGCGATGCCACGGTTCGGAAAAAAAGGGCCAAACAGCTTCTTTTCGTCCGATGTCTTCACTCAGCCGAACCTCCGCCGCACGGACCCGCGGAAGACGGACATCACATTGACATCACGGCTCGGACCGGCCCAGGCGACTAAGACTCCAACGCGTCTCAATTCCTTTAAGCGCGGCCGCTCCACGAGCTCGAACGACAACGACGGCTCCGTGTGACGAGTTGACGTCGTTCCGTCGGCGCCGCGGACTCCGCGGAACCGCGGCATCGCTCCCACTTCTTGGAGTTGGTTCGGTGGAAGTTGAAACGGGGAAAGAGAAAACACTGGAGTGGAGTGGAACAGATTCTCCCCCAATTCTCCCAAGTTGCGAAGACTTGTTTTACGGTTTTTTGTTGAGATCGCGGCTGCATTGGTGGCCATTTGTGTTGAACAAGAACGGAGCGGCGCCCTGGAGCCCTTAAAACAGTGCCAGTCACCCAGTCGTAGACACTGACATGGGGATGTTTTGTCATGTTTTTGTCATGATTTTTGTAATGATTCACACTTTCAAGCTCCAATCTTCAGACATCCCCATGGCGACCCGTGCTGGAAAATGCATTTTCGCAGACAGCCCATCGCGACCATGACATGCCTGTATCACAACCGCAGAAGCGGGCAGGGCATTTCCACAGATCTTAAGGACTCGAGGATTCCGGATGAATGCACAAACACGGCAGTCACAAACACGTGACATGAGCTGTTGAATAATGCATGATGTTCTGAAGCGTTTTTCAGCATGGAGCATGAGCATGTCCCAGCATCCGAACTCATGCTATTTGACCCCGGAATTCTGGGAGTAGAGCCTAGCTTAGGCTTCGCTCACAAGGGTTTGTGAGACGGCTTGGCATACAGGATTTGAATTCTTTCTTCACAAGATAGTGTTTCGGTCAATCCTGTGTCAAAGCCCACACTAACAGCAGTCTTGCCGCACCGCACCTGCTTTGATGGTGTGGTGGATGGAAAAGTGGTGGACTCGTGCTGTCAGGAAGGCATGACTTTGAGACAGGAATTTGCTTTTTGGTAAGCTAGGCGGAGCAGAAGGGATCTGCAGCTACCACAGGATCTTTTTTTTTTTTTGACTAAGGCATTTGATGAATTTTCTGAATGACACGGCTCCAGGAGTACACTATGGACCATGGCATAGTTTATTTAGTCATAGCTCCGAATAACTTCCCAAACTTTGTCTCTTGAAGGTGCATGTCACTGGCTGAATCTTTGCTCAGCAAGACGTACGACGCACAATGCAGTATACACATCCCTCAGCTACACCGGTGCAGAGCGCAGCGCTGCTTCAATGACACATGGTTTGCTTGAGAGACAGTTCGCAAGGTTGCAAAGCGGTTGAAAGGCTTAGTGCATCGACGAAGGCTTGCTTTGGAAACAAAAACAGACACGTGCACCATGAATGTGCATGGCTGGAGGGTTTTCAGAACAGGATGTAGACCGTCCTCGTCCTTCACTTCTGCCGAGCACATGCTCCAAATCTGCATGCAACAGCGCCATGTCGCTGTTGCTCTGCACGTGGAATCTGGGATGCAAAAACGCTAGTGACGCACCCAAAGACGGTGACTTGACAGGCAGAACTCACTGTTTTGCTTTCACCCTGATTAATCCAAAGATGCAGAAGCAAGGAAGTGGCAAAGGCATTTTTACTTTGTTCACCAGCAGCTTTCCAAATGGTCACTTTGGTCTTCAAGTTTGCCTTGTGTCGAGACGGTATGCGGAACATTGCGGAACCATGTTTCGGTGTTCACCAAAAATACCACGGTGGCATGCTTTAGGTGATTATGACTGGCTGGCAAAGATCTTCAAAGAGATGCCCGCGTGCGATGTCGTGGCTTTGGGCATCCAAGAGCTTCATCCAAGTCTGCTGCCAAAACTGCTGCAAAAAGTCCAGCAGGCAAAGCATGGCGAAGCACAGCTTTCGGGGATTGGGTTACAGTGTGCTTGAGCGTTGATGTTACTTGACCAGTTTGGACGTGGGGTTGTGGAAGGAGATACATGACTGACACTCCTTATACATCCGAAAAAGGAACACAGCTTCTCTTTTTGTGGATAGCTGGATAGGGATAGCACTCATTCAAGGCCGGTCTGAGAGGCACTCAAGTTGGTCTGAACAAGAAAACACGAATAAAGGAAGTTCAAGCCCTCCCTAAAGATAGGGCTTGGCCTTCGTTTCTTTTCATCCCCTTCCTTCATTTTCGCCGCCTGCCTATCTTGGGCAGGCCTTGCAGACAGACTTTCAGGCGGGAGAACGTGACCGACCGAAGTGCACCCGCTGACCCAACCGACCGAAGCCCTTCACCCGAAGCCGTTCGCTTCAGAGCTGCCGCCTGTTTCACCCAACCCCGACGGTTTCGCCTCCTCGCGGCGGACGTCGGAACGACCAAGTCGAGAAGTGATGGGCTACTAGCTTCGTTACTACTAGTAAGGTACCTGTTACTACTAGCGTGGCACCTGTTACTACTAGCTTCTTGTTACTGGTGGTGCCGGACGGCCGGCATTGGGGCGGCCTTCGTAGCGCACGGACAGACATTGGGCGGACCGGCCAGACATGTTCGTAACCGGGACCTCCCATCGGACCGTTGGTCATGTCGAAGCGCCAGACGTTGCGGGATCCGAGAGGTGTCGGTCGGTCGGTCCCTATGTGTGGGATTTCATCCATGTGGGCGTCGCGGTCGCGCGTGCCGCGGGGCGAGGGTTTCTTGGTTTTCTTATGTTTTTTTCAATGTTTCTCCAAGAAGACTCCGGTGAGGAAGTCTGATCCGCCAGGCAGTGACTGCCGAACACTGTGGCTCCTACCTGCCCTTATTGCTTTTTCAACGAAACACCAGCAAGGTCGAGGCCACTGAGGGGGATTCGGTCCAAGTTGAGGACTCATCAAGGTCCCGTTTGAGGACTCGAATTTATTTATGCTGTATGTGTTTGAATTTGTATGTTATTTTCATTTGTGGCCTTTGTATTCCAGTTGTTTCCATTTGATGTTGTATTTGATGTTCTATTTTTCATCATATGTTGTTCTAATTAAACTTATTGTCCTTCATTCGTCAGTTCTCGTTACACGAGAGCGAAACATACTGTAGCGAGCTCTTCAACACCAGTCACGGCTCCAAAGGATAGGACCATTAGGACCCAGGTGAACAGCACAGGATTTCAATTTGCTTTTCAAATTCATTTCAATGTCTTTTTGTTATCGCTACTAGTAACTAAGTGCATCGCTACTAGTAACAAGGGCATCGCTACTAGTAACAAGGGCATTGCGGCATTACTATTAAAAAAAAGCAAGGAGCTACCAGTAACAAGGCACCTTACTACTACAAGCTACTAGTAGCTCCTTGCAATACTACAAGCTACTAGTGGCTCCTGGTATTACTACTAGGAACAAGAAGCTACTAGTAACAAGGCATTTCTTGTCATTCTTTGCTCTTCCTGCTGGTGCTGCTCGTGCACCTCACCAGGTCGTGCCGTTGCACTTTACCTTTGACAAGCACCAGGCGCGTTCTGCGCGCGTTCAGCACGTGCCTTTCGCAAGCAGAAACGGATAGAAAGGGGGTCCAACCGACATCAATTACCTATGGCCATCAGAATCAGCTATTGTCATTGGCAGACAGTTTGGTGGAGAAAAAGGCAGAAGGACTGCTGCTTTTTTGCATTCAAAGTCCACACTTTCTTCACACACACAGAGCAGCGACTGCAACGCAATGCTGCACATTGTGCCCGCGCAGGTGTGCAGCAAGGGCTGTGTAGCAGCGCAGTTTCACTTCGGGGGCTTGCAGCTCTGTGTGGTGAACGCCCATTTGGAGGCGAGGAGCCCCTAGTAGGGTCCTTGCTCCTAGTAGTAAGGCCAGGAGCATGTGGCGTTCGATCCATTGTGGACCGCGCTGCGGACTGCGTTGCAGGCAGGGCATAGCAAAGTCAACGTCTGGCGCTGACGACGTCGCGGTGGCGCGGTGCGATGGACACGCTGCTTTTCGTGGAGCTCGGTCCGGCTATCCGGTCCGCCGCGAAAGCGCCGTCCCGAGGCTCGAAATCAGATGATGGCCATGGCCTCAGAATTCGGATCATTCTGAAGCCCAAGGATTCAGGCTACTAGGAGCAAGGACGCTACGAACGGGGCTCCTGGCCTTACTAGGAGCAAGAAGCTAGAAACAAGGCTTCAGATTTCTGAACATGAGTTACATCTTGATGTTCAAGATGTGAAAGGCCAGTCTTTGCTGCAGTCTCCCATCAATTTGGGAAAGCCAAGGCACAGATTGCTTCCCATTTCCCGACACCTGCTGGGTCCTTGCTGCTGCTTCTTGGAGCGCCTTGACCACACGACTCCTAAAGCACAAAGAGTCCATGTTGCGCTGCGGGAGCGGCCAGACTACGTCGTCCACAGCTTTTTCTGGATTTGTCAGGTACAACGGGCTCAGTTTTTCCGTCTCTTTTTGGGACAGTTGCTTTCTCTTCTCTTGAAGCTGTACTCTTTCTGAAAAGAAACAAACCACCACATCCCTCAAGCTGACTCCTCACAAAGGGGGACGAAGTCACCATCAGTGTCACCATCACCGTCCCTCTCCTGGATGGATCGGACGAGCCCCGGGCTCAGCCCGCCCCGCGATCCACCGGCGACGTCGCGAGGATCTCAACTATCGCTTAGAGGGTCAGAAGCCCTTCACCGAGCCCACCAAAGCCACCCCGGTGGAGCAACGCTGTGGGATCTTCCTGGCCGAGCTTCTTGGCGGAAATTGGAAACAAACTCCTTGATGATTCACCCTCCCATTCGAATGGAACATAATGGAACAACCTCTTCATATGGGGGGTTTTATATGGTTTTATTACGTTTTATTGATATCTATTAATCAAGAGTCTACATTATTGCGGAGTCGGGCTGGGCACCATAGTCATAGGGAATCTGGCCTCCTTTCCTTCTTCGCTTCATCGACTTGAAATGTCTCGAAAGGTGCCTTTCATGAGCAGAAGACTTGCCAGATGTGAGATTCTCTGTGAGATCATGATAGATCAACATTTGCAAACTTGTTTCATGGTTTGGGAGTTCGGGATCTACGAAAGCTGCGCATTTCCAGCGAACTGATTGCTGCAGCACGGTCAGCTCAAGAGGCTTGTTTTGCCTTTGTATAAGTTGGAACTTCAGCTGCTCAGCTATGCTGCTGGAATGTGCGTTTGCGGTTGCAG